AAACGCACACACCATATTTTAACCCTTACAATCGGGAAAATAGACTAATAGAGATAGGAAGAGATGGAGACACGTAAATAAAGAAAGACCTATTTCACTATGTACTTGCCTGTTCCATATGTCCATGACGACACTCTTCACAAACTAACTGATCGCAGTGACAGCAACGTATAATTCTCCCCTCATTGTGGCAGACGTAACAGCCGCCGCCTTCTGCTCCAGCCGCATCTTGCGGGACAAACTGGGGACTGGCCGCTCTCTGAGGCTGCAGAAACTCTCTCAATGGCCTTACATCATTCATCTCGCTTCTTCCCATGCTCTCGATAGCCCTTCCAGCTGCACTGGAAAGTTCCAAGAAACCAATGATGGTCAGGTTATTAGGAAAGCTCGCCGGTCCGTTTCTTGGCACGAAATGGTCAGCACGGCATTCTGGGCATCGGATTGACCGCGTCCTTCTGTCCACTAGTCCCTCTAAACAAGGGGTCAGACAGAAAGTGTGCTGGCATGGCAAAAGTTTAGGCTGTTTGAATCTTTCTAAACACACAGCACACTGCAGCAGACGTTGCACATGCTCAGAAGCTAAGGACATTTCCGAACTAGCCATGTTTGATATTGATTGAATTGTCCAGATATGTGTAGAATTTACAGATGGTTATAGCGCAGACCAATTTCTTTGTGAGCCATTATCTGTGAACAGATTGAAAGCTAAACACCTTAACTAGCCATGTTTGATATTGATTGAATTGTCCAGATATGTGTAGAATTTACAGATGGTTATAGCGCAGACCAATTTCTTTGTGAGCCATTATCTGTGAACAGATTGAAAGCTAAACACGTTAACGTTTTTTAGCATAAAAATATATAATTGAATGCCTGAAGTGGAGCTTTGAAAAAAATCTAAACAAATTCCACATGGGGGAATAACCAGTTTGTCAGTGACGCTCCGAAAATGTATTAGTTCCGTCGCCCAGCTACTGAGCTGAGTACTTGGTGCGACACGATGAGCTATGGATTTCAAGTGGAATGCTTGTTTTTATTTTGTGCTAGCGAAGGCTTTGTATTACACTAAATATGACGGGTGGCTGACTGTGTGCAGATGGCACGTATTTCTACAGTATTGCGTGTACATTGTTTGCTTTAGCAATTGATTGTATCCATAGTGATCCATAAATTCTGGTATGGGACTGTTAGTGTTGGAATATCTGACAGCTGCCTTGCAACTGCGTTTTAACGTATGGGCCCGCTAGGAACTTGCACGGGGGCCCTGCGAGCAATTAGGCTCCATGCTAATCGATGTATGTCAAGTGACTTTCCTGTGAGTTCTTGTCGCATGGACTGCAGCACATTGGTTTTTCCATGGGTCCATAATGCTGTTAAGACGGCTCTACCGCCTTATGTGTATTTTTTGCGGGGGCGGGATTCAAGATTTTGCTGGGACTGACATATTTTTTACTAGTTCTCAAATGGGACAGTGAGGGACGTTTTATGTGATTTCTTTTGGCACAGGAACGAGATAGTTGTTGGGCTACCATTCTGCAGTTAAGCTGGAACCTCAACTAACGACTAACAAGAGGTAAGGAAAAGACGCTGGTTTTGGATAGGACACACACACAAATAAAGTCACACAATACACACACATACACACACACAAAGAGAGAGAGAGAGAGAGAGAGAGAGAGAGAGAGAGAGAGAGAGAGGTGCGTGGGGGGGGGGGAGGGGTAAGTACCCAGAAAACGAGTCAGAAGCATCTCGTGGCGAATAATGGGGAGATAAGACATCAGGAACGCACTGGAAATGAAAGCACATATGGCTGGAGAACTGGCGAGAGAAAGAAACTTCCATGCGTGCTGTGGAGAGAGCGCTGTTGTGTAAAGGTCTTGCTGATTATGAGAAAATATTCTTTTTGAGGACAGCTCCAGTCAAACTAAAACAGGGTGAATTCTGAATGACGCAAGCCAGTGTATGAGTTCTAAACAGATAGGTATTGTTGGAAAACATTAGTAGGTGAAAGACATCCACAAACTGTGTTTTATTTCGTTTTCCGACTAGGAACGTACGAACTTTATCAGCTTATGTAACAAAACACGGTAGCCTGGACTGCGCAGCTCTAACCCTGTTGGATTTTACAAACGCAGAACGGTGTTTGGATTTTGTGCACACATTGAACGCACTGTCTATAAATAACACAATGACGCAATATGAAGGTGAACTGTGAGTTTTATGTGGAGAGAATTGAATGAATGAAGTTACCAAGTTTCTTTAACGGTAAAAACAAGCACTGAATTGTTGCCAGAAATAAAATATGATTTTATTACCTTTTTCAGTTAAAGAGTGAGGAGTTTAAGCAGGAACACCTCAAATTCACGCATTGGCAACAATGGTCCCAAAATCCAAATGCATGTGTGGAAGATTTGTAAGAAAACTCATCACCAACAATGGACTGCAGGTTATCTCGTTAACTAACTGTACGGTGTCACAAGAGAAATGTGTTACACGGCTGAACGTGGGGGAGTAAAGTAAAGGTCCCTTTCCACGCCTTTAGGCGTATTAGGAATATATGGCTAGACCTATATTTTTTTAGACCTGTCGGTACTTGGTGGGTTATGTGGTCAGCATCACGCCGACCACCTTTACTTCCCAGGACTGCACCTTGTACCCAGTCAAGGCTGGGTCGACCTGGGGGTCAAGGTCATTGTTGAAAAAAAAGTCCGAACCCACGACCTTCCGATCCACAGGCGGGGTCTAGCCGGCAACGCCACGGCAACTCCCAACGTTTAAAAAAAAAAAGGGGGGGGGGGTGGTGTGAGAGACTTGAAATATTTCGATCACATTAAAAAGCATAACAGTTTAACAAAAAACCATGCTGAAAAATGGAAGGTAAAAGAGCAAGAGGTATTCAGCGAAACAAGTGGGAGGACATCAATATATATATATATAAGAATAACAGCATGAGCGAGCGTATAATCAAGGCGGGAGAAGAAAGTGTTCGAGATCCATTGCAGCCACCCTTCCGCTTGCAGACGGCATATGATTGATCAAAATAATTGACTGATTAAATTCCAGAAAGTTTTACAGCAGGAGCTAAATCCAGCGCAATATTCGCAGTGAATTAAACAGTGGATTTTTTTTTCTCCAAAGATGTAACATCCACTGTCGTCTAGATTAAAATAATCAGTCGTTTATATTCTAAATTTACGGGACAACAGGTTACCTTAAAACCATATAGTGTCCAAATATAACTTATGTGAGGTTGAACAAGGCATCTGAGATTTGTTCCTGTTGAATTCGCATCTTAAAATTGGCACTTTAAATCTCGGATATCAGTGTTTCAGACAGAAATTCCGAACGGGGTTAATTTAAAAAAAAATGCATCGCGTCTTAACATTTATAAAGACATTAACTTCAATAATATTCTATATTCAGCCTTCTCATGTAGTATTGAATTATATATATTATTTCTAGTCATAACATGTATAGCTACAATTTACTCACAAATTATGGGTTACTTCACATTTCTGCAACACAGCTCTCCTATATATATTTTCCACGTATACAAAGACAACAGCTTGATAACAACGTTTAGTTTCAAGAAGATTGCTCACTCACATTTTACGATGTGTCAGTGTCCTGCAACTTTACTAGACCATCAATGCATCCCTAAAGAAAGTAAACAAACTGCTAACGTAATATACAATGTTTCACAGCACTCGATCTCCAGTCCTCTTTGAAAGACGGTATGCGTAGATGGTTCATCACATGACCTAAAACTCGAGCAATATCTCGCTAAAAGTAGATTTGATATGTTGCCAGCCCACTGTGGGAATCAGGCTTTCTTGGCACAGGTAGAGACTGACGCACTGGTGGTTTTTTTGTTTTCCTTTGCTGCGTGTATGTATGTGGTGGGTTTTACGTGCACTCGCGTGCATGTGTGTTGATGGAGAATTGCAGGTTTTCTGCTGGCATTTTTTTAAGTGCTTCGGTGTGTAGGATGTTAGCCGAATTCCAACCCCCGAGTCAGTTCGTTTCTTCAAATTCCTTAGGCTACTTCTTCTCTTCTTTGCTTTCAACGGCTGTTATTTCTTGCGGAAAGTTGTAGTTGTTTGTCTACTTCTAGACCTTAGTTTTGCTCCATAATTTGCGTTTTGCGTGCACACCTGTTATACAGATCTGGCATGCTTATATGCAGACTGCTGGTTTCTCGCTTCTGAGGCAGATGCTGGGTCCGCAAAAGAGGCAACAACGAATGGTTTATCAGGTGTTCACACAATACACCCAGATGCCACTACTATGTCGCTGGCAGCCCCTACCAGAGGAACTTGCTCCAACTACAAGTCTTGCTACTGTTGGCAGCACAGTATATGAACAAGCTGCAAATCCCTGCAGGCAAGATGGTTTTTATCACTGGACACTGCAAACTTACCAAACACTCACATAAATTAGGTATAAGCCAAACAGCTGTCTGCCAGTGTCTTCGTGCTGAACAGACTCCAGCTCATGTCTAACAATACTGTCCTCGTTTGGTGGTGCTGCGAAACAACAGGTGGCCACAGCCAGTAGACCTGACAACTAAGCTTTGGAGAAAAAAGACCTTGAGATGATATCCCAGTTTATTATCTTCAGTTAATTATGCGTCTGACCAGAGATCGCTAAAGAAGAAGAAGAAGAAGAAGAAGAAGAAGAAGAAGAAGAAGAAGAAGAAGAAGAAGAAGAAGAAGAAGAAGAAGAAGAAAAAGAAGAAGAAGAAGAAGAAGAAGAAGAAGAAGAAGAAGAAGAAAAAAAAAAAGAAAAAGAGGGAGGAGGAGAAGAAGAAGAAAAAGAAGCGGAAGAAGAAGATGATGATGAAGAAGGCAGATTCACTCCCACTTTGAAAGAAACCCCTAATAAGTCGACTTTCGCCACATGCTTGTGGGGGAAGAGGTTTGGGTGGGGGGGGGGGGGGGGGGAGGGAGGAGGACAGTGAGTCTTTTCTTTTCCCCTCTAAAATATGACCCCGGAGATGACACATGGAGCAGTCTACTTAAGTTTATGTTTTTTCGACGGATCAACATCATGGCACACGGGTGTAACCCATAAGCGCTCTGTTCTACTTCAAACTTAAGCCTGAATCTGAAGAATCTCAGCGCAGTGCAAAAACTCCGTTGCACCGGCGAGGATCCTGAACTATTTTGGGTAGATTTTTAACTTCAAATTTTTCCTGGGCAGCGCCGTCAGTCACCTTAAAATACCAGCCTTCGTCATGTCTACTCTTTATTCGGTATCACTGTAACTTATCATGCATGCCGTAAGAGGCGACTTAGTAGGGCTGACGTCAGGTTTGACTAACTGTAAAATCCTACCATGAGAACTTGGCGTGAGTTTGAAAAGAGATTTATCTCCATTGGCAGATAAAAAGCAGAAAAAGAAGGAGAAGAAGGAGAAGGAGGAAAAGAAGAAGAAGAAGAAGAAGAAGAAGAAGAAGAAGAAGAAGAAGAAGAAGAAGAAGAGAAAGAAGAAGAAGAAGAAGAGAGAAGAAGAAAGAAGAAGAAGAGAGAAGAAGGAGAAGAAGAAGAAGAAGAAAAAGAAGAAGAAGAAGAAGAAGAAGAAGAAGAAGAAGAAAAAGAAGAA